GCTAACGAGTCCCAGGAGATGGTCACCAACACACAGCCACAAGTCCCCACGGCATCGGGTCTATGCCCAGGCAGCCCTGCCTTTGCTTTGTCTGAGGAACTTCCTCTCGCTCGCCATAAACATACCAGTTCGCCACGAACGTGCAGGTCAGCAACTCCGGTGCTGCTGCACCCGTGACTGTCTCATCTTAAGATAGCTGGTGCCCTTTTCCACCCTCAGAAAACCCCAGTTTCTTGAGAAACTCAACTTCTCCCAAGTAAGGCTGTTCTCTATCTCATGATCTGGACCAAAACTTCTATTTAAAAAAAACAAAAACAAAACTAAACAAACAAGCATCAAGAGCATCTGAAAGGTCCACAAATCAAAAGAAAGAGAAGGAAAAAATATGCCACATGTTAAAATGACAATTTTTAAGGAAATCATATGGTTTGGGGCCTCAATGAATGATTTTTGCATGCCTGAGTTTAACACTGTCACAGTCATGAAAGTGGAATCCAAAAAAATAAACAAGCCCATTGATGCAGATGAAAGTCAAACATGCTTTTGCAACTGGTAAGGCAGGTATCCAGCCATACATTCTCTGGGTGCAAACTGCAGCTTCCAGACGCAAAACTACACGACCCCATGTCTGTGAGGTCAAGAACATACACGTATATTTTTGAGGCTGAATAAGAGACTGCAGCTAAAGAAAATGTGGCTTTCAACGGTTAAAAAAACCCAACAAACTGCACAAGAAAACAGAGTGGGGAGCTTTTATAAGCCACCTGGAATGGCGTGTCTCTTCCTGGAAGCTCCTTTTGGTGTGGTAGACCTCATAGATGCCATACGCCCGACCAAAAAACCCAACCATTTCTCTTCCCCCTCCCCCCAAAACACACTACATTTAACGAAAACTCCAGTGTTGCAGGCCAATACACTTCTTGGATTAAACTGATGACGCTTGAAGTAACTGCAATGCATTACTTTTCAACGAGTAAGAAACTGTCTCTGGGAAACGGCAGGTTGTGTTCAGTCAGATACAGCGGCTCAGGAGGAAGTCATAAAAAACGTGTGGGATACTCAGAAACCCGGCGCTTTCGTGAGTGCCTATACTTCTTGTTGTAATACAGGATGATTCAGGACGTGCTAATGAGCGGGTAAACAAATAAAAATAGCATTTTAGCTTTGGAAACAGTGACTAGCACTGCCCCCACGCCCGCAGGCAGAAGTCCAGTCCCGTACTTCCATTTTGACTTTGACATTTTTGCCCGTGAGAGATTCTGCACCACCCAGCACTGAGAAGTGATGGAGAAATGTCACCACTGAGACAGCAAGGGCTCGAGAAACACAGAGCATCACCTGCTCATACAGTAACTGCCTGGCAGAGCACTTCTTTTTAAACTGTTGGCTACATTAACAATAAAAGAGGGACCATAGACAGAAACTTCTTGCATGCGAGGGAGACAGCACAATGCATAAATGCTGAAATAAAAAAAGACCTTGGAGCTAAAAGCTAAAGCAGAAATTCACAAAAACCATCTCTTGACTCTCCACATAATAATTTACCTCCAGTTTCTGAGGCAGATTGGTGCATTTAGGTAATCCGTTGTGGTCTGGAAAAGGTACGACTGCCATCACTACCTCTGGGTCTGTTCCAAAGCTTCCCCTGAAAATCTCTGCTCAGTCTCTAAATATTTTCTACATCCAAAGATCTGGCACAAGGCCCTGGGCTGCAACTGAAGCGCCGCAGACAACTCCCCAGCAGACCCGGGTCACCCTGTGCATCTCCAGCCTCAGTGGTGGCATCGGGCTCTGCCATCTCATGCCGTCTCGTGACCCTCAGCACCCACGAGTCCCGTGCAGGAACAAAGCCACGCATTCACAGCCCTCGAGGGGGACAGGCGATCCCAAACCTGCTCCGAAGAGCCCACAGCCTGGGGAGCGGGTCCTCGTAAGCACCCAGGAGAAGCAGGAGGCACAGCTGGGCTTGTTCAGCCTGAAGAAGAGAAGGCTGCGAGGGGACCTTATAAATGCTTATAAATATCTGAAGGGTGGGTGTCAGGAGGACAGGGCCAGACTCTTTTCAGTGGTGCCCAGTGACAGGACAAGGGGCAATGAGCACAAACTGAAGCACAGGAAGTTCCATCTGAACACAAGGAACTTCTGCACTCTGAGGCTGATAGGGGGGTTGGACTGGATGACCCCCAGAGGTCCCTTCCAACCCCTAACATTCTGTGAGTCTGTGATTCTGTCTCTGTTAAGGCAGGCGTTATTACAATCTTACTATTACATACTCTTACTATTCCTTTGCTCTGGGACTTGAAAAGCCTAAAGTGGATTGAGCTTCAACTACAACAAATGAAAAACATCATCAATTTTAGAAACAATACAAAAAAACAGTTTCCCTTTTAGACTGACGCCCGCTGTAAAGCCTCGGGACTGCCTGCTCCCTCCTGCCCTCAAAGAGACGGGAATGCAGGAGAGGGAGGGAAAGGCGTCAGTGATTTTCCAAGGCATGTTGGCTTTTGATGAAAATTGCCCCGCGTATTCAGGAAGAGACAGAGGAGGTAATCATATCTGGTTATCTCGAAATCATTATGACCGGGTAGATTTTGGAGCCCGAGTTGTTTGTTGGAACCCACCCCTCCAGCCCTCGCGTTTGAAACAGAACAGATGTGTAACATAACAGGAAAAAAAATCCAGCTCTGTTGTGACAAATTCTTAACCAATTTTTTTGGAAAGATTTAAAATAACATCGTTTCTGTTGCGTAGGCTCTGATCCTGTTGACGTCCGTGCTCAGTTGCCCAGCGCTTTCATATACATAAAACGAGAGGTATTTTTGGTGGAAGGAAGCACGGTCAGTGTATCTGATTGGTAAAATAACTTAAAATCACATTTCGACAGTAACTTCCAACTGCCCCAGAGCACGAGTTAATGAGATCACATGGAAACATATTGCGAACCAGGAAACATACTTTATACAAGACCAAAACAGTGGAAAAAAATGTTAAATACACAACGTAGTGGGGCTCCGTTTTGTACACTTCACCTTTCTTGTTTGTGTTAGCGCCCAGGCCCACCGGGTGCCTCCGGACGGACGGCAGCAAAGTGCCTTGGGGCTGCTCACTGCAAGGGAAAGATAAAAGCCTGTTTGGCCAAACTGTCCCATTGCTGCCCTCGAAGTCTTCGGCAGCAAGTAGCCCCCCAGCGCAAAAGCCAACGGCCAGCCCCTCTGCTCAGCGCGGGCTACTTCGCACTTCAGTGGCAGAACATAAAAGGCTTTTTTTTTTTTTAAGTACACGGGAAGGCTCTCAAGGATTTCCCTGGTGTTCAAAGTCCCCATCCCAGCTCCGCAATGCAGCGAGCGCCTGCCTCGGGACGGCGCGGCCAGACCCAGAGGGGCTGCTGCACTTCCCAGCACCGAACTGAGCCAGCGTCCCGCAAGGAGCTTGGGCTACACAGAGAGGAGAAGGAGGAGAAGAAAGATGAGGAAGGGGACCACAGCACTACATGGTGTAACGCAAAGGGTCGTGGAACGCTCAGTCTCAGTCCTGGGAGACAGCACGTGGCAGAGAGGTGCTGGCTGGAGAAAAGTGAGCCTGACAAGGTTGAGAGCCGGGGGATGTATCGCTAATTAAAACATTTCAGCTATGCATCCACTTTTGTAATTTTGAGCAAGACAGCTTTGCTGTCAGAAGCAAGCAGCCAGGTGTGCTGGGGGAGGAAGAGGAGAGGAGGTGGCCATCACAACCAGCGGCAGGGAACAGCCCGCAAACTTTTGGAAAGTAGCACTCTTTTCCTGCACCACTTGCTTCTGCATACACAGCCTTCAGAAGACTTCAAAATAAGGACCATAACCAAGACCGAAAGAGAACGCAATGGATATAATTCTGGCTATTCCGTGGTGCTTCCCACCCGGAGTCCTCTTGTGATCAATAAGTGTGACCAGTATACTGAGTGTTAGCAGCTGACAAATAAGGTGTTATTCATTAAACATAAAAATGGTGGGGAAGGGGGAAAAAAGATCACCGTCCAACACAGATAGGAAAAGAAAATTGATAAGCAGCTTTCAGACGAAGCGAAGTAAAAGCAGAAATAACGCACAAAAGAACTATATTCCTATCCTGTTTGTATTCACTGCCTATAAAGCGTCAACATAAAAGGCCCTGCAAGAGCCACAATAATGAGACCACCTCCTCGTCCTGCAATAAAAACATACTAAGACATGATGAACTATCAAAGTAAAGCTACAGGTTTGATGGCACCAAATTGTCCTGCTGCCCAGTGAGCTTCTGAGTACCCCACTTCATAGAACCATAGAATGCTTTGGGTTTGAAGAGACCTTTAGAGGTCATCTAGCCCAACCCCCCTGCAGTGAGCAGGGACATCTTCAACTAGACCTGGGTGCTCAGAACCTCATCCAACCTGGCCTTGAATGCTTCCAGGGATGGGGCCTCCACTACCTCTCTGGGCAACCAGTTCCAGTGTTTCATCACCCTTATCGTAAAAAATTTCTTCCTTGTATCTAGTCTAAATCTGCCCTCTCTTAGTTTAAAGCCATCGCTCCTTGTCCTACCACAACAAGCCCTGCTAAAAATATTTTTCCAATCCTTCTTGTAGGCCCCTTCAGGTACTGGAAGGCTGCCATAAGGCCTCCCCGCAGCCTTCTCTTCTCCAGGCTGAACAGCCCCAACTCTCTCAGCCTTTCCTCACAGGAGAGGTGCTCCAGCCCTCGGATCTTCTTTGTGGCCCTCCCCTGGACCCACCTTCAGACTGCCTGGGCTGGGGCTCGTCCCCTGGGAAGCAGATAACCACTTACAACCCACGCATGGCCAGCTCCTAGAACAGCCTCTCACGGTCACGCCCCACCAACAACAGAGGCAGCGTCACAAGATACAGCCAAGTGGAATGAGCGGATGGGCAGCTTTAGCAGGAAGCAGAGACAGGAAGGGGAAGGAGGGGAAAAAAAGCATGCATTAAAGATACTACCAGGATTGCCCTCTAAGTCGGGGTTCCTCACCTCATGTAGGATGTCGGAGACAGAGGCTTTGGTTTGGCCCACTGGTAGGGATGCTGTGGCACAGACAGGTACTGCTCACAGAAGTTTCCTTTCCTGATGTGCTGAAAGCTGGAGAAGTCTTCTGGTGACAAGTCGGCAGTTGGCGATATGGTCCCGTGATCCTCGCCAGCTGGTTCCGTTTTGAGAGTCATGGATGGGGTGTGGTCAATGGCGGTCTTCCTCGACTTGATGGGAATCCCATCGTTCATATCTATGGTGCTGTCGGTGGTGAGGGCGTTGATGGCGGCGACGATGGCGGAGCTGGTGTACTGGTTGGTGTTCCCCAGCCACGTCTCGTCCGTGACGCTCACCCGCGGCGAGTTTTGTGGAGAAGGCGTGGGGGAGTGGTGCGGGGAGTAGGAGGTCTGCCGGCCATTGAGGCTGTACTTTCTCTTATTGCAGGGAGACGGAGGCCTGGAGTTGCGAGCCCCCAGCCAGTTCTCCTCCGTGATGCTTGTCCTGGGAGATGTCGATGGAGAGTGCCTCGGGGAAGTGAGCAAAGTGCAGGCCACCATGCTGCGCTGGTAGCCCTCCTCTGTGTCGGTGGTCTTCGGAGAGACACACGGCGACTGCCACGGAGAGGTCTGGGGTGAAGTGTATGGATACGAGTAGTTGGACTCGTAGGAAGACGCTTCAGAGTTGCAGCTCCTGGAAGACAAGCTACTCGCTGGACTCAGGCAGGACGGGTCTCTGTACGCCTCGATGTTCGGCAAGTTCAAAGTGGCAGTGGAAGGCGACCGCTTGGCGTTTGGGATGGCCTCCTCGACCTCATCGTGGAAAAACTGGTTGTTGTTATGATGAAGTCCCATGTAAGAAGTGATCTCAATTCTAGGGCTCTCCAGCGCTGGAGCTCCATTAGGTCTGATGTTTGGTGGCACGTAATACTCGGAGGCCCCGCTGTCCATGTGTCCTCCGTATCCAGAAGGATGGTTTGTTGATGGGACAACTGAAATGACGGGATTTGATGTCTGAAGGCCATGACATGGAGATGACAATGAGGAATGTGCCACATTTAGAGGCAAGCCAGCATTTACGTTTGAAGATGCGTAATTATAGTGTTCTGGAAACAAACAAACAAACAAAAAAGAATTGTATGAGGTGCTGCACAAATCTACTCACTTAGTAACATACCCAGCTGGAGCGCAGGGACATGGCACAACACACAACAACGCAGCCCTCAGCCATGCCATGCTAAGGGAGAAGCTGCAGACCAGCATCCTCCAAAACGCCACTAACTGAACAGCACAAGACAAGCACTCTTGGGAGGAGGATGTACATGGACGGAGTCTGTCTCGAGGATGCTCTTCTTATGTGAATCTGCAGAGCAAAAAATCAAGTCCTCAAATAACGCTGCTTCAGGATTCAGAGACTGCTGTGCTGCTCAAGAGACGTGCTTTTACGTAAGCGAGCCTAATTCCCCCTCTGAAAAGCTGGAATACACAAAAAACAAAAGCGGAGGCCGACTAAGGCAAAGAACGTGGTCAACTGCATTCTGTTAAAAGAATTATACACAACCGAAATTTCCATTACAGCAAGTTTCCAACTGGTTCCAGTTAACTAGGATTTTGGAACGAGATGGATCTATCGACCTGCTCTGGTTTCTGGGACCACTTATCCTCCAGCGCAACTGGCAGAGGCCAGGTGAAGGATAAACATGGATGCCTCGCCGCTCCGCGACAGCTGAAACTGCCGGTTATCGCACGTGCCAGACCGAGCGCTGCCAGCAGCGCGCCGTTGGCCAGCGGTCCGACCGTCTAACAGCTCCGGGTGTATAAAAGTAACAGCAGCGCTGCACAGTCAGTACAGAAAACCGGGAAGGTGACGGATCATCACGTCACGGACTTGCGCCGGTGGGCTCCCCGACCCAGCGCAGGGGAGCAACCCGCCCTTCACGTCCCTCCGTCCCTGCTGCGCTGCGGGGACCAGTATCTTGGAGCTGGTCCGCAGGAGACCAACACCGCCCCGCCTCACCGTCGGCCTGCCAAAGGGACCCCTTCAGCCCCTCTCCCTGGTGCTCCGAGCAGCGGCAGAACCAGGGGACACCCACCCCGTCCCTTGCGATACGGGGAAGCTCTGCGTCACCAGCACATGTGGGCCAGAGCCCCTAACGCCAGCACCTCCTGCCTGACTGGGAGAAGACAGCAAAACCTTTCTGTCAGGGACAAGAGCCGCCAAACTTTGAGCCTGGGCAATGCTGTTCTGCAGGTTCCCCTCAGCGGGCTGGAAATGCACCCAGCCCCAAGCCGCGCCTGCAGCGCATCGGCCTTCCCTGAGGTTTATTACGGCAGCGGCACCTTCCCGCAGGACAGAGGGGAAACTCCACGTCCCTCCGGCCGCAGCCGGTCCGCACAGGGAGCTTGTCCCCTTCCCTCCCAGCAGGCAAGCTCCCTCCGCGGTCACCCTCACCCGCCTTCCCTAGGGACGCACGGAAAAGCTGCGTTAATTACTGCAGCCGCTCGTTATCCCCAACGCAACCCGCTCCCCGGCAGCGCCGCAGATGCAAACGAGCCCCCGAGCTGGTAACGCCAGCGCAGCCGGCTATTCGCTTTCATTTGTTTATCGGCGCAGCCCTCTCCGGTGTCATCCTCCGGTGATCCCGTGCTCGCCCTTCTCGCTGGCAACGACTCCAAGGCAAACGGTACTCAGGAAAAATTAATGCGCTGCCGCGGTTTCGCAGCAACTCTGCGATGTTCCAGCTGATGTGTGTCACGTCAGGTAACAGGAACGACGAGCAACGCACCTTTGGAACTCGCTCTCTCGCCTGCCTTCAGAGACTGGCCATTTACTGAGGAAGGGTCATTAAATTACACCGGAGCGTGCCACAAATAAAACTGGATTATTCAACACAGGCTGCAGCTTCACAGTCCATTCTAACAACAAGGCCGGCGGGAATGATGGAGAAAGGTGCTACTTCGACGAAGATAACCTGAGTGCAGGGGTCACAGCGGGGTGCAGATCTGCCTGGGGGATAAGAGTGCCCTCCTTCCAAAATCGGTCTCCTTTTGCTGCTGCCTTGCCTCACGGACGCGACGCGTCACCACGACTACCACCACTTCCCTCTCACTCTCCATTGAAAAAAAAACAAAAACAAAGTGCTACAACAGTAGTAAGACCTTTTCCGTTTCAGAAATTCACTCAGAGAAAGAGTCTAAGCAGTGCCTTCAAATCATCTTCGTGCCCTCCTTCCAAAATCGGTCTCCTTTTGCTGCTGCCTTGCCTCACGGACGCGACGCGTCACCACGACTACCACCACTTCCCTCTCACTCTCCATTGAAAAAAAAACAAAAACAAAGTGCTACAACAGTAGTAAGACCTTTTCCGTTTCAGAAATTCACTCAGAGAAAGAGTCTAAGCAGTGCCTTGAAGTCATCTTCAGCCCCTCCACCGCCTCCCCCAGCTCCAGAGGAAGGCGATGACCCTGGCACCGCACAGCTGCTGGGACGCTGGTAATTAAATTAAAACACAGCCTCAAGTGCTCCAAGCAACAAGTTCCCCTAATGCCAGGAACAGCCTCTTGTAGAACTATTATGCATATTTTTAAAAAGCTAACTTTTAAATGGCCAAGAAAACTAATGTGTCATACAGCTTCTCTCACTCTAGTACTCAGAATCTAAAGAAGCACGATCCAAAGCCTTCCAAATGTATTCAGGTATCTTAAATTTTCAGGCAGCGTGTAGAAAGCATGCCCACCAACTATCAATGCCCCAAACCCAGAACAGTACCGAGTCCTTCGTTCGTGAGCTAAAAATCACCAGGTACAATTTCTGAAAAAACACGTTGTTCTTTTCCACAACTTCCACATTCACAAACTTCATCAAATGCACACACACAGTCAGCATCCGTAACACGCCGACGTTTTCCTCACCAGACTGAATGAGACACAGAGAAACAAAACACCAGTCTTGAGGGACGGGAGGTGGAGGTGGCTATCAAGGCACGAAACTGCATCACACAACGCAGCCGCGTAGGGCGTTCTGGCAGTGCCGATAGGGCCGAAAGGCAGGTAGTGCTCTAACATGGAGCTGGGGTCACGTCCGTGATCCACGGAGGCCCCCAGGACCAGTGCACTTGCTACCAGGACACTCTCAAGAGTGTATTTAATACCTCGAGCCAAACCCCAGTACTGGATAGACCAGTGCAGGTCCGCAACGGCTCTGTTCCAACACATCCACACTTACATCAGGTATAACTAGGGCAAGAAATTGGACCCCTTTACTGGCGAGCACGTCTTCGCATATTACGTTTCACCCGGTGACAACACAAAAAATGTAGATTATGTTTTTCTGTAGTCAGTTTCACAGAGCAAAGGTTTTATTCCTTTCTGCCTTTAACGAGCTGATGCTGCGACACACCAAGTGCCATCAGGTTTTATTTACATCCTTTAAACAGGAATGCTGAACACCTGCAGCTCAGAGGGGCTTCAGAGAAGGTGAGGGCTATTTTACATTTCTAAAGACGAAGGCACGTCTAGGTCTGCGTTTAAATTCGTGCTTTCAAAATTGCCTAATGGAGCCAGGTACTTCTCTCACTACGACTTCAACACTTCATTTGCTCAGGCCCCTCCACTTTCCAGGCGTCTCATTACTGGGACACTCATCTAAGAGCTCGGTGTGGAACTCCTAAACCCGCGTTTTTCTAAAAACTGGGAAGCTCCTAACAACTACCTGGACGCTGACGACGCACGGGAGGGCTGGGCAAGCGGGGAGCAGTGGGATGGGGAGCACTGCGCCTTCGCTGGCATCCGGGCAGGCTGCGATGCGCAGGCGGGGATCTGGGACCCCGCTTCAGTTCAGAGGCAGGAGAGGAAGCACAGGAGCGCGACAGCCTTGCTCCGAAGCCA